ATCGAAATTGCCTGACAAGTGACAAGGCCAATACCAGCTAAAAAAAACGTTATCAAACCCCACAGATTGTACAAATAATTTGGATTCCTTCCAGGTAACATTCCAAGTAGTCGAAATACTCGCATTTGATTGCTTATCATCGAAGTCGAATCCATCTAGAAAACACATGGAATTTGTTTTTACTTTTTAAAATTTCGACATTGTATTCGGTATTCTTCCAATCTATATCATAAGATACCAATTCGAACGGAAATAATTTTCGGTGAATTTTCAAATGTCATTCACTGACATACATTACGATCATTTCATTTTCTACAAACATGCCGACGGTCAGTTATATTTGTGGCGATTATACGAACGCCATTCGTCGAACAGTCAACAATCAAATGAATAAAAAGAATTACATTCATAATCCCAAACTTTTACCTACTTTGATCCACAATTTTTGTATGATCTGTATAATCTGGTTTTGTTCAATTTCTTGAAATAAAAACAATCTCAAAGTGTGACGAAAATGTATTTTTGTGATCATCTTAAAAAACAAATCTAAACGTGTAGTTTTTATGATGATCTTAACAAAATTTGCGAAAAACGTTTTCGAGACCGATTCCTATACTTTCCCTACACATAGTGTGTACGGAAAAGCAATAAAAAACTCTACGAAATCACGATGACATATCAGGAATATAAATAACATTGAGTGTAAACGCAGTGCTTCGGTTTTGAGTGATTCATTTGTCATTCAACAGTTTGTTATCTCGTCGGAAATGTGGCAAATGTTTTAGCTGTGTGTTAGTTACTTTTCCATTCTTTTGAATTTTGAATATAGAAAACTACGCAGAAGTAAAATCTCCGTCCACTTTATCGTCAACATTCGGACACAACTGGTGCCGCATAGTTTATAATCTAAGCGAAGAAGTTGTAGTTCTTCGAAAAAGTTCCAAAACATTGTGTAATCATTAGGTTTTAACGAAATTGAATTTTTTCTTGATGAATGTGTGACAATCCATCGCTTAATTTCTGTGCAATAGAAATTTCAACAACCAAAAATAACATCAAGTAATAACGAATTAAATTCATTAAGCAACAAACAATTCAGAAGTAAAGCAACAACATGATCATTAAAGGCACCAATACGGAATTAATTTCGTACCACCCGCTGTCAATAGTAGACCGTAGGAGATAAGAGTCAAATATTCGGGCTGAGCAACAATATTTGTATCAATTAAGCAACATCTCGCGTGATCAATTGAAAAAACTGGCGTCTTCAAATATTTCATTACTGCGAGCGAATAAAAAGAATGTGAGTGAAATCTTTTTTTTTCAAATTCAATTTAACTTCCGAAAAATAAAAAATGAAAAAAATAAAAACTAATAAAAGGGCTATAAATGAAATAAAAAGGCCCATTTCATATCTTATCACATTTGAAAGAGAGTCAAAATCGTCAGTGGCACAAATATTCGGAAATAATATTCGACACGTGCGGTCAATACGATTCCGTGGCCAATCAAAATGAGATAACAATCAACTACTTTTTTTTAGCGTTAGTTCATACAATTTCAATTTATTACATTACCTCAGTTTCGATTTTATCAAAATATTTACTTTTCACAATTCAGCCGAATGATTGAGATTGAAAATGGTTCACTTACAGTACTGTTTGGTCTTGCGTTCAGGCTTCAGGTTTTATAGCCGAACGAAAATCAATAATTGTTGAAAAAAAAAGCGTTCACCAGTAAATTTGACTTAAATAATAAATTTCATAGGAAATAATCCCAATCGTTACATTTCAAAAACTTTTTATTCCAATTACAATGTTTTTCTACCGAAACTATTCAACTTTCTTTCATCGACCGTCTGAAACCTGAATTTCATAGTTTTGATAAAGAAATTTTTTTCTCCCTCAAATGCCAATGCTAACGAGGACGGTAACAATTACAGTTTCATAGAAAAAAGTTTCATTTGCGATCAACTTGAATCATAAATTCGATCATGCATATTTTACCAACCAATTCCAAACTCTCGAAAACCCGAAACTTAACTTGATTTTTAATCAGGCATACATTTTTATCTAAATTTATGTAAATAGTGCGGAATGACCATTAACAAAAAAAGTTTTCGAAAATGTGAGCATTGACCAAAAAAGAGAAAACAAAATGTAAACCGTGGTATTTTTGTGAAATATAGTGCCTTGTTATATGTTTCTACAGAAAGAAGTGCTCCAAAGTGCGTCATACTGTTTATAACAAAAGCACAACTCTTGCAACATTATGAATTCCATATTGGATTCCTTCACATTTAGTTGTCCTTCATTTGACCTTCTGTAGAAGAATCAATATTATGGGCCACATAATTTATGGCTGAGTGCTTTGCAAAACAGCCAATAGAGAATAAGCCGTTTTCACAATCTGGAAATTTGAAAGAGAAAAATATCTCGAACTAATATTGTTTTTCAATACAGATTTACCGGCATTAAAAATGTAATAGGTAGTAGCATTACGTTAACAAAAATTTCCTGTAATGTTATTACAATTGTAATAGCTATTACCGGTAATGCCAAATGACTGGCATTACAATTGTAATAGCTATTACTTGACCCGTCTGTTACAATATTAACATGTTACCTAACATTAACGGTAATGCCAGAATTCTAACATTATTAATATGATTTTCTAACATTACTCACGCAATGTAATGCCAAATGTAACATGTTACCTAACATTAACGGTAAGAAAATTCTGGAAGTGGGTTTTGGTGGATCCTCAGGATTGTTCAAAACCGCTCCTGGTTCTGGAAGTGGATCCTCAGGATGGACCAGGGCATTGTCAAACCCAGTCTGATCCATCCTGAAGATCCACCAAAACCCACTTCCAGAATTTTATTACCGTTAATGTTAGGTAACATGTTAATATTGTAACGGACGGGTCAAGTAATAGCTATTAAAATTGTTACATATTACCAGTAATGCTAAATTTTGGCATTACAATTGTAATAGCATTACTTTGGCTCTTCGTTACAATATTAATGTGTTACGGCAAAATGTAAATCTGTATTTTTCAATTTCTTACAAAATTGCAATACCTTTATGAAGGTGTTGATATCCATTTTGAAAAAATTTCCAGCATTCATAACAAACGGTCGTATTGATCTTGTGAGGAATATCAATAGACTTTTCTTTTCACTCGGCCCAAGTTCATACCATTCCGAAGAAAAAATAGCAACCGGTAATAAGTCACACTTGTCCATCAAATTTGTACTAGCGTAGCTTGGGGTGATGATTTGTAATAGCATTCCGATGGTATAGCTGGCAAGGAATATCAATTGCGTGGTGGTAAAGTTTTGAGCCTAAGAAAGTGTTCGAGTTTATTGGAACGACGTGAACGGAAATCTATTTTTTTCTCTTATGTCGAATTATCAAAAGAAATGCACTTAGGTTTTCAATCATTCAAAAAAGAACAATACCTGGGAAAATTGGTATGCACAAGTGCATATGATGGGTGCACTGATGCTTACTTGAACGAAAAATATTGCGGAAAGATGGTTATTCAATTCGGTTGCATAGCTGAAATAAACAAAATTATCATTAAACTGAATTGACTATTCTTCGAACGAAACACATACTCAGTTAGCAGACCATGATGATTGAGTTGTTCCAACAGTCGCAATCGATTCGAGTCATTCGCCGATCGCCTTTCGAAATTTCCAATTTTTTTCAAATGCAACGACAATACTTCGATATGACCACATAATAAACTGATAAGTAAAAAGCCAAAAGTGTCAGATGTACATGCTATGATACAATTTAAGCAATTGCCAATCGCCTGAACAACTAAAACGCTGTAATAAACAATTGGCTGTTGAGCAAAATCGTATGGAACTAGAGCCGTTGACTTCCATGTGCACTCGGTTTTATCTAGAAAAATGAGTTCGAGAAACAATGGCGGCAGAGATCCAATATAAGAACAGAAAAAAAATATAATGATTCGACGACAATACGCGAAAACATTCTTCATTGCGTAGATATCGTCATGATTTTCAATTCGCTTATCTGCTGTCTTCATGATATCCAAAATGTTGAAAAAGTGTTGACGATGCGAATTAAATAAGAGGATCTTTATTGTTATGTGTGCCGTTGTAGACAACAGTAGCAACTCTTTAACTAATTCGTTTGTGGATTGTACGTATAAAATCGAAATTGCCTGACAAGTGACAAGGCCAATACCAGCTAAAAAAAA